CTGCATCTGGGTCAATGTGAACTGAGTTGATTGAGACCTCTGGTCCAGGAACAGCTGTTCATTGTGGTCAGTCTTCAGATCCCAGAATATGAATGACTCCACTCTGGTCTCCAACAATCACGCTGCTGCCTGAAAAAACAATACTGATCGTTTACTGACATTTTGCAGGCAGTAGCACACACTCTAATTGACCTACAGTAACATTAGATTAAACAGACATATCTTGCACCACCAAAATAACAAACAACCAATATAATAAACCACTTACCTGGTTAGGGTGCAGGCACACACAGTTGATTGGAGCATTGACTTGGGAAAATCCTCTGACACTGCAGATTTCTTGACCTGTAAGAGGAGCAGGGATAAAAGTTTAGTTTGTTGACACCAAAGTAAATATAATACAGGTCAGTGAGCATTGCCCTGCAGTACCTCAGGTCCCAGATGCGAGCCATGCAGTCCTCTCCTCCTGTTGTACATCCAGCGTCCATCTTCATGAAAGCCCACAGATGTGATGTTCTTGCTAACTCCGTCATAGTTGATCACCGGGTTGGGGTTGTTGGAGTTCAGGTCGTACATGCGGATGTGCTGATAACCTAGAAAGCAGAGTGCAAACTTAATGTGAAATATAGCAGAGATGAAGTTTAATTTTGCAGTCCAGCATGACATTAATTGACTAATGAAGCAAAAGATTGACCAACGCAGCTGCAATCATACTCCTGTCAGGTGTGACCTCAAGTGAATTTACTTGCTGTAAGCAAACGTTAAGGGTGTGGTTTGTTTAGGTCATGTCTATTAACATTTTACAGCAAGGTTCTGATTTGTGAAGTTGAACAAAGTTTCTCTAAAGCAGATGGGACACACCGGCTGTGAAGATCTCATCCACAGACAAATCCTGGAGCTGCTTCAAACACAATGATTCAGATTCTGACAGAAACATGTTGATTTGACTGAGATATGGGTCAGTAGAAACATGTTAAACACAGGTGTACTGGTAACTAGCAGTCGTTTGATCAACTCAAATGCAAAAGTCAAAAGTTTTTTTTTTATCTTTCATCTTTCAAGCTTGAACAGACACTGGTCTCTTCTTGTAGGATCTAAATATCCTATATCATCTGACTATTACAGTGTAAACTCTGATTATCTTTCACAGCATGCCAGTCAGAGTAAAGGATACAGAGTCCTGGTGCTGGACTGTCCTGGTGCAGATCCCGCTGTGGGCCTGCCAGAAGCGGACGGTGTGGTCGTATCCAGCCGTGGCCAGAATGACCGGGTCGCTGCCCACCGTCCCCTGGTTCACATTCATGCTTGACTGGTGCTCGTCACCGCTCGGACTGAAGCGAGTATGACACTGTATGGAAATGTAGGAGGTCAGCTAGCTGCTGTAGTTTTCTTAATATCGTTAGAAATCACGTGTTTACAGGAACAAGGTTCAGTTATTGTCACGCTGTGGGAAAAAAAAAAACATTTATCTTCAAACGTGCAGGCTAACGTTAGCAAAGTAGCCTAGCTTGGTTTAAAGGCGATGCAATTCAGACAGTTAGCTAACGTTTCTGCTACACACTAACGCCCTGCGATTGTGACGTCATTTCACTGTAGGACTTAATTTATAACAGTTTCAACCTCTTATCAGAAGAAATACAAGTTATGATTACCTTCAGCTGTTTGTGTTGTCTGTACGTCCCTACAATGTGTCCCCTAGAAACATACGATTATGTTTTGAAAGTTCCGTGTTCTTCAGCACCAGCGCAGTGCTGCCATCTACTGACCAAACCTGCTTTTGGTCACGGCAAGAAGAGCGGACGACAGTAAAAAAGTAAAAAACTGTTTATTTAAATCTAGTTTATCAATGGAGACATGGCGCCAACATGGCTTAAGTCCTTATTTTAGTAAAAATATACTTTAATTACAAAACTTCAATTACAAAATAGTGTTACTTGTGAGTTTGTTTTTAAACGCTGGTTGCTCATTACATTTCAATAATGGAACAATATCACATTACATATGGACATATAACTGTTTTTTTTTTTAAGTAAGTTTATTTAACAGCTTTAAAAAAAAAAACAACAGTACATTCTTAGATAAATAAATATATATTTTAATAAATAAGTTAAATAAATAAATAATGCAGAGAATCTCTATCTGCAAAACATAAAGCACATGTGTAAATTTTGCTTGTTAACATCTTAATCAGAACAATACGAGCAGACAACTGTGACTGCAACATGTGTTTTCCTGCTTGCTTGCTTGGTTGGTGTGTGTGCTGATCATAGGCACTACAACAGGGCAGACATGTGCTGTTTCACCTCCCCTGGGTCAGCCAGGGAGCAGGCCATGACCACACCCCTGATCCCACTCCTCATCTTAGTGGAAGGGAGGATCTGCAACATATTGTAAGAATTTTCAAACATGTTATTTGTTTTTATAACTTATGGACAAAGCATAGAACCAACGGCTTCAGTACCTTCACGTATATTTTGCATCTCTCCAAAAGAAATTTCCACTTCATCGTTGTTCGCTCGTCATCAGTCAAACTGGTGAACTCGTCTGTCTGCAACAGATGAAATGGAAATGCTGTTCATCTCTGCTGAAGCACAGATGCTAAACGTTTGATGTGGTGGACTTAATAAATTCAGCCAACAGCAAATATTTCCTGACTTTCCCGACCCGCACTGAATTTCAAAAACAGCTTAGTTGGAGACAAACAGAATAAATTTTTAACATGTCCCAGTATCCATATCTCTATTCTTCTGTTCCTTAATTGCTGAACATAGGGGCTGCTACATTTATTATTGAGGATGAATAATCATCTTTCTGTAAAGTGGTACTGACTGTGCAGCCAANTTAAGTAAGTTTATTTAACAGCTTTAAAAAAAACAACAGTACATTCTTAGATAAATATATATATTTAAATAAATAAGTTAAATAAATTAATAATGCAGAGAATCTCTATCTGCAAAACATAAAGCACATGTGTAAATTTTGCTTGTTAACATCTTAATCAGAACAATACGAGCAGACAACTGTGACTGCAACATGTGTTTTCCTGCTTGCTTGCTTGGTTGGTGTGTGTGCTGATCATAGGCACTACAACAGGGCAGACATGTGCTGTTTCACCTCCCCTGGGTCAGCCAGGGAGCAGGCCATGACCACCCCCCTGATCCCACTCCTCATCTTAGTGGAAGGGAGGATCTGCAACATATTGTAAGAATTTTCAAACATGTTATTTGTTTTTATAACTTATGGACAAAGCATAGAACCAACGGCTTCAGTACCTTCACGTATATTTTGCATCTCTCCAAAAGAAATTTCCACTTCATCGCTGTTCGCTCGTCATCAGTCAAACTGGTGAACTCGTCTGTCTGCAACAGATGAAATGGAAATGCTGTTCATCTCTGCTGAAGCACAGATGCTAAACGTTTGATGTGGTGGACTTAATAAATTCAGCCAACAGCAAATATTTCCTGACTTTCCCGACCCGCACTGAATTTCAAAAACAGCTTAGTTGGAGACAAACAGAATAAATTTTTAACATGTCCCAGTATCCATATCTCTATTCTTCTGTTCCTTAATTGCTGAACATAGGGGCTGCTACATTTATTATTGAGGATGAATAATCATCTTTCTGTAAAGTGGTACTGACTGTGCAGCCAAGTGTCTTCTCTGCCACTGGACTTCTGAGGGTGCAGGCATGCAGGGTGCCGGTGTGGTCGGTGAAGTCCACCAGCAGGCAGAAGCCTGTGGTGGTTGACAAGGCCTGATCCCTCCCTGGACACAGCTGGTTGACGCAGCTCTGCGCGTCCTCACTCACCTGTAACTTACACCTGGAGCTGAGGCAGAAGAGAAAACGGACCAACCCAGGAATTGTTTATTGACTGGAGTGGCATACAGATCATTATTTTAACAATTCACCCAATCCATCCACGTGTGTGAACTCACCACTGTGTCCTGATGACTTTTGAAACAGAGGAATCGAGGTCAAGTCTGGAGATGAAGCTGTATGTGATGCCAAAGAAAGCCTCAGGATTCTCCCAGGCCTTCTGCTTCAGCTGGCTCACCGTGTACACATCGTTGATGGAATCCACTGCAGAGACAGTAGCAGCACCACATATCCAAGTCTGCGGCCTCTCTCATTGGAAAACAGCCAGTGACAGAGGCTGTACTTGACTACTGATAGTTTGATGAGTTACAATAGGAGAAAATAAACGACAGGGTGGTGTTATACTATATCTTTTTCATTGTCAATAAAACCCATGAAAAAAGACCAAATCCAACAATGTCTTATTCTGCCTCTCAGCACAGACCAACTCAGTCCTTGGTCCTGCTGAAGATATAAATCTTTAAAAATGGCTCACTAATATATAATTTCATTTGTATAAAACTTTTTGTAATGAACGAAAACATCTGGACAGTGAAGAAATTCAACTGCGTAGAACTTTTGAAACTCCTTGTGTTCATTTTCAAGAAGAGACATGTCAGCCTGTGCAACAGTGAGGCTCATTGTTTTTGGACTATAACGGAGGTCCATGGAACAGAGGAATAGGCTACACAGGCCACACAGGCAGAACTTGTCGTAGGGTCAATTCGTTGTTAGCTTTGGTCTTCTCCTCGGATTTGATGGCGGTAAGAAAAACATAGAATATCACAAGACTTATCCTTTTAGAGCACAAAAATATGACCTCTGCCAGTTTGGGCTCAGAACTTGATCATTACGTTATGTAGTGTGGTCAGATTTGTACACGTACTTTTTTACAGTCTTTACAAGTAACCTGCGTCAAGGAGTGCAATTATATTGTATATTGCACTTTCTATTAAAGTATAATCCAAGAATAACTTTAAAAGAGAGGAAATAAAAGAAAAAGTATGAGAAATAAAAGCTGAGACCTGAAATACAAAGAGCATTTTACATCATGGTCCAGAGAGACTCATTATAAAACTGACAGCATCAGAGTGAGGGGAGTTCTTCACTATAACCCACCAGGTACATCCTCTGGCTTCTCATCTTGATCCAGAGCTCCAGACTCAGACACTTGTTTAGCATAGCTGAACAGCAGGCTGGCCTCCCTGGTGTCTGAGAGCAAATTATGATTGACTTTGACATGTAGTCCTCACTGAAAATATTCTACACAGCAGCAAGAATATGATAGTTTTTCCGTGCACTGTGCGCCAGAGCTGGTTGGTTGGTTTTCCAAAACAGTGTTTCAGTTGTCTTTTTGTTGAATTGCACAATGAATGGTTGTATCAGATCCTCTGTTGTCTAAATGTAATATGATGTAATATCTTACCAGGGTTGACAGTGATAATGGTTTTCGAGTTAACGGTTGCTGCCATGCAACTGCGAAAGCTGTCAAAGCCAATCTTTGCATCAGCTATGAAGAGAACTTTGAATGAAGAATAAAAGTTAAAATAACAGTAAGTTATCTTAAACACAAACACACAATCACATCTCAGATATCCACTTCCATGTTTCTCTTCAGTAAAGTATGTTAATGGGACATGACAGGCTGGAATAACAGTTCAATAAAGATTCCTTTTGTGGCTGAGAATGAGCAGCAGCCGTCAACCTACCCGTCTCCTTGGGTATCCAAGTTTGCACAAGCTGAATGACTTCTCTGTCCCAGCTGTGAGTGAAACAGAGGTCAGGGAGAGCACAGTGAAAATCAAACACACATGCAGTTCAGCGGGTTAATCTAAAGCTTCATGTCACCACAGTAAATTTATGGCAACCTAAAGATACACAGGGGCCAATAAAATGGAATATGGCACAAAAGCAACACAAGTAATAAATATTTATTCATTTTCCAAATTACTAAATGGTGATGACGCACCAGACGAGGGGGAAGGAAGAGACAGATTCATCAAAGAGCTTCACTTCCAGTCTCTGCCCTTTGCGACCGTCTGAAGTGGTGAACTGCTTTGGCTCTCCGATCTGAAAAAGTAAACAGAATCATCTGAAGTTCCTATCACATTATCTTCCCTCCATGAAAAAGAATACAGTGATATTACATACAGGATCTGGCCTCTTTGTGAACTCATCTTCAGAGCCATTATGGTAAGTTGGTATGTTCCAAGCAAACAACAAGGATACTACCATGTAACCACGAAAACAAAACTGACACAGTGTTGTCTATTAGGCAATTTATAAGATATGAATTCAGCAAATTTAGAAAATTTTGACCTGTCTGATTTTCAAACTTGTTATTATTTGCTCAGCATCTTCGATCAATGTCAAAAATGTCCTGAATCAAGCTTATCAGGCGTCCCACCGCGGCCTCAGTGACAGGTTCCATGACTTTTCCACGACCGACTTTCATAAGGTTACATCGGGGCACTCTTTAACAACCCTTCCCTCCTTGTTAACGTTGTTTTTCAGCTCAGGAAACTTTAACAGCCTATTTTCCACCATAGTTGAGCTGGAGAAAAAGACAGCTGTAAAACCACAATCTAATGCAATCAGTGTGTGGGAAACGTTGGAAAATACATTCCTCTTTATTCCTGTAGAGTGAATTATTAGTAAAATTTTACAATATTATTTGAATTTAATGTGGAATATTAATACTCCACATATTCCCTAGAAAACAACTCTCAAAAATTAATAATATCCCAAAAATTTCATGAGCAGTTTGAACTGTGATTGATTCAACAACAAACACTTATTTTGAGAGCACATTACGACCTTCCCTTCCCAGGATTCAAACTGATGATCTCAGTTCACATGGTCTTAAAGGAAACATCCACCCTAAAAAAGAGGCAGCTATCAGCCAAATTCTGATCATTTATAGGCCAAACATGAACAAAGTAACATAATTTATATTACTTTCTCCACCTCCTATCATCCTTGTCAGTCCTTCTGGATCAAAGTACACACACCACTTTTTTGTGATTTATTTTTTCAGTTAATTAAAACAGTTACCGAAGAAAAGCAGATGCCTTTTTCTCCATCAAGTGCGACTTTCCACCAAGAGTGGCATTCGTAATGCTAAGCTACTGGTGGTAACTTAATATTTAACAGACGGACAAGAAAATGGCATCAGACTTTTCATCTAACTCTTGGCAAGAGATCCTCTTTACTGTCTCAGACTTTTACATTTTACTTCACTGGAAAAACACTGGCATTTTTCTAACCATCATTCCACTCTTTCCATGTAATACTAAAAAGCATTCTGGGAAAAGAAGTTAATTAATAACATAAGCAGAAGTCCATGAAGCAGGTTGATGGAAATGTGGCACACCAAACAAGTTAATAAAATAAATAAATAACGCAATGTCAATATAAAAAGTAATTCCTAAACTGATATATAAAGAGAGAGGGCATGTAAAAGTGAACTTTTGAAAGACTGTGGCTTTACCGATTTCACTGCAGCCAGTATATTTATCACTGTGCCGTCCAGGCGCTGGCCATTGGCCTCTATGTCCCCCAGTGAGTAGAAATCTGTTGAGTCCTTCACTGGCAGGTGAATCATTGGCAGCAACCTGTCGACGGTGTCCGTGTCAGCACACAGACTCACCTGGGAATGAGCCTCTGTCACCAGCAGCCTGTAGTGGCTGAGACAGCAGATACAGGCCCCTGAACCAGTGAGGCTTTACACACTGTCATCGGATATTACACACTGTTACATCATATTTTACACAGCATTACAGCCTAGCGACGTTCTCATCCTCCAGCTTCTTAAAAGCACCACATGAAGAACATGACTAAGAGTTACGTGTTAATTACCTTGGTGTTGTAGGACAGAATCGGTCGCCTTTCTCTAGGTCTTTGTTGGCAACCAAAGAATTTTCAATGGTGACTGGAAAAAATAATAAACTATTTTGTTCATAGACATTTCACTGTGTACATGTTCTAATTTCTATGGATAAGTATTTAACTTTTATTTTTAAAAAAATATGGTTGCAAAAATTTTGTTCTTGTATAGCTTGATTTTCATTCTACTCAATAATTTATCAATAATTTAACAATAAGGAGCTTTGACTTTCTAGCCTTGAAATTAGCAGGTTTTGGAGTAAACAAGACACTGGTCAAAGCTGGACATGACTATTACTACAACTATTTTGATGAATTTGGAAACTACACATTGATTTAAAAAACTTTAAGCACCTCTGATGCATTTCGTATAACTAATGAAAAAACATTTATTTTTACAAAAAGTATTTTTAAGGCTTATGGAAACTTTAACAGGAACAGTAATGTCCTCACCACAGTCTCCAATGCTGAAGCTGTTGGAGAGCCCGTTGATGTAGCCACCATTTCCCCAGGATGTCACATTAATGAAGAAGTCAGGTGAGTCCCTAATGGTGAAGCCAAAAGTGAATCTGTCTGTGCCAATATCTGAAATTCAGACATATAGGTTCGGTTAGTGTTGCAGTTCACTGAAAAAGAGTAAAAGAATAAAAATGATATTTATTCATCTATCCAGAAGAGGGGGCTGGTGTACAACACACTAAGGTATGGTGCTTTTAGAAGAATGTGTCTTTAAAAATAAACAATGCACTAATATAAAGAAGATACCAACTTTTTCTGTCAGGGAAGCTTTTTACATCAGTTTTCCCAATGATGATGCCGGCCACTTTCTGGGAAAACAAAACATTACTAGGGTAATTACAGGGTGTAGACTTGTTTATTTTAACAGTTCAACACAACTTCACAACAAAATCAGTCATCGAATTGACAAGTTCTTGCTGATTTTGTTGAAAGGCTGTTGCTACAAAAGAGAGATATTAAATTGCTGTAATTGGCTGAAAGGCATCTAAACTCACCGGATGAGAAAAATTGGGATGCAGCTCAGAGATGGCAATGATTGTCTCGGCAGCCATTTTGTTATTCATACACCCAGTCCAGTTCAGTTTCATCACATTTACAGACTCTTTGAAATAAAGTAAAACAAATAAAACAATAAGGGAACATATGGGTTTCAATTCCTCTGGGATAAAAAATATATATATATATTAAAACATTTCCCATTTTTGTAACACCATCTTATACCAGAAACATTAGCATAAAACTAATAAATAAGAGTTAATTGCTGGTTAACTAGCTAACATTAGCTAACAGTGGAACAGGCCCACTGTCACTTGTTCACTGTTTTTATCTTTTTAACTTTTCTTATTTCGCCTAATTTGATAACAACAGCCTAATTTCAGGTACACGTCAGACATTTTGCTGTTTTAATGAGTCTTTTCTTTACCTGGGTCTGTTTTCCTGACAGTTTAAAACGTTTTTTCGCGGCAAAGTTTTTTCTTTTTAACGCGACAACACTGAAGTGCTGCCTTCACATGCAGTCGGAAATATCAGAAAAAAAAAACCTTCTATCGAATAAACCAGGTCAAAAATAATTCAACTGCCTGGTAAATTTATTCAACTACTGTACACCGTTTCTTTTATATATAAAATACATAGCAGATAGACAATCAGAAAGACAAATCTTTTTTTTAGACAGCAGTAAAATAAAACATTCACCTCCAGTTCCTTATTAATTTGTTGTTCAAGCTGCGTGCTGATGTTCAGTCATGGATTAAGAAATTTACGAGTAGCACTTGAAGGTTACAATGCAACATGTCTGTGTGTGCCACCCTTTTTTGAGGTTCATCTTAAAGGAGAAAATATTTTGTTGTATTTGGTAATATTCCCTTGTATGAAAAGGTAAATTATATTATATTATTATATTTATTCCCCCCTTAAAGAATAATTTCACACTTGCAATCACATCCTGATAAGAATATCAGATAAAAATATTCAGTTTAAAACGCCCACTTCATTGATTCCTCATTTGCCCAAAAATATTTGGATTTTACTAACTGTGATCAACAAAAAGCTTCATTTAATTACACATTTTACACAGGGCTGTTATGAATAGAGACCTGGGTCTATTCACCTGATGTTGAGATAGAGTTCAATGATGTTTCCTTGGATGAAGTTTCAACACACTTTCAGCACAGTAAACATCTATAGCTGAGCAAACATGCAGTGAAATGGGACTGAACAATACAGTGGGTCGGATCAATTGACTGGAAGCTGTCAGTTATACACACTTTCACACACACACATTTATTTGTACACTGTATAAGTCATGTCTTCAAAAGTCTCCACTGTGAAAGGTATCCCTGCATCTCAGACTTTGATATTGCCTTGGTAATCCATCTCAGTCATCATACACAGCGTGGGATTTGCTCTCAGACAGCTTTGCTGAGATGAATTTGACAGTTTCCTGGTTTTGTTTTGATAGCACAAAGCTGAATTTGACATGTGATACTGTCTTATGCACTTAAGCAGGAATCAAAAGGTGAAACATTAAACCCTCATTCAGCTGCACGCAGCCTTGTTCCTCTACCACAGTGACTAATCCTCGTGGTCGGGCTTTTGGATCAGATATGTCTCCTCCCTGTGACTAATGTTGATTTTCTGGCTGTAATATGTCTGGTGATGTGATTCTACAGTTCTTAATCTCTGACAAAAACAACGTATAGTAGCAGACATAAAGGCATTTTAGAAAACAATAACACAACATGGTGAGATGACTTTTTAGCAGACAGCCTGATGTTTTATGTTTCATCAATGTATTGATGGATTTATAATGTTGTGTAATGTAAAACTGGACTGATTAAATACATTGAACATTTACCTACGCAGAGGAATCGATTTGCAATTCACACCAGTGGCTGGCTATTCAAATGAAACAAAATTTCAAATTCTAATTTCATTAGGTTTTTCAGACTACAGTTTGTGAGTCCATTAATCACAGCGGCACTGTAAAGCACCATCAGATAAATCAAGTGAAGCTCGCTTTTGGTTCAATGATTTATTCATGATGAATTCATAGTCTCTGTTAATCTGTCATCAATCATACTTTGATCCAATATTCAGTGGGGTCTTTTGAAGTGATTTTAATAACTATTTGGATGTCTTTATGATTAGCAGTCATGTGAGAGTTGCTTGTCGCTTCCGATGGCATCATGACTTTGTTCAGGGCAGAGCATCTGCAGGGCTGCAAACACAGTGGCTGCAGGAATGTGCTGTGATTGGGTGGCCTCCCTGCCTCAGGTCGGCTCCCTGGAGGGTCTGCAGCCGTCTGACCACTCCTCCACTATTAATCTATCATCTCACTCTGTGTGTGTGTGTGTGTGTGTGTGTGTGTCTGTGTGCTGTTTCCTCTGCATGCATGACTGCATACAGTAGGGTTATGTGTCGTGTGTATATCTACCATATTCACTGCCAGAAACGCACAATGAACACAGGGCTGTTCAAAAAGAGTATGTAACTTTTTTCTAATGCTTTTTAGTTGAAATTGGCAAAACATATCTTAGGTGCATACATTACCCACAGTGCAACTCCACTGCTGACACTTCAGGTGTGTCATGCTAGTAGTGGCTAATGTAGCCTCAGGTCTCTAGCCTCAAGCAGAGATGAGGAGTGGGCTCCAGAGGTCTTGTAAGACCAGTTCTTTCTAACGCTACACCCGCAGATTTTTTTTTTTTTTTTCATTTTCAATCTGGTTGATAGAAAGCAAGTATAACACACACGCACACACACACAAAAAAGCTCATCTTTACAGGATTTTTCTCTCTTTTTCCAGCCCATTCATATTTATATTTACTCAAACACTGTATGTAAAGACACTGGAGCAAATATTGTAATATATTATTGGTTAACAGCTATAGCTGCTAATTACTTTGCAGAATATGAGCATATAAAACATGATTCATTCTTATATATAACATTTAACAACTAAGCAGCTATATAACTCTATGAATAGCCATATTAACTCCACCCTAACCAGCTACAACATTAAAATACATCAGTGTCATACATCAGCAGTAAAATCACGTAATACTCCAATAATATGATATTAAACTATAAACACTGACAGGAGCCATTCTGTATCGGCCACCAGACTTTAAGTACATTTTGTATTGAGTATATTTACAATATGGTACTTTTACTAAAGTAAAAGATCAGAATATTTCTTCCACCACTGTTCTAATTTCGCAGCTGTCCACTGGACCTCCACGATGGCACCAGACAGACAGGAGATTTGTGGTTAAACTGCTCAATCTGTATAAAACATGAGAACAGAGGTGGAAGTAAAGACACCAGCGACTGCTCAGAGGCACAGCAGCACAAAGACAACACAAAGCCAAGCCCAAGTCCTTTAATGGCTGGATGAATTGAAAGTATATGACAGCTGCATACATCCTCTGAAGTTGTCTGTGTGTTCTTTGTCTAACAACAGAACTGTGCAGACTCCTGGTTTGATCTAAATTACTATTTGTGATCAGGAAGTCTATGAACTGATGTTTTCTCTATATCTGTATAGATGTCAATGTAAAATGCTGCACAGGATGTGGGTAGACAAGTTGTAGCATTTAGGTTGGTGAACCAAAAGGGATGAAGTTCACATGCAAGCAGGCACACATATGCATGGTGCACGCATGCAAAGACAATAGGGCTATTGTTAAGAATGAAATAAGTTGTTTCAGTGCACCAACTCCTGAAAGAGATATTCTGTCGGGATCTAATGGAACCAATCATCATTATTTTATTGAATCTGATCATTAAAACATATTGTGCCGTGTGCGCCGTGCATGGACGTGAGCAATATCTTGGCATGGCCCAAGCATCTACATCCAAGGATAGCTTTTGCAGTCACTGGCAGCAGCCTGAGCAGTCTTTATTGGCTTCCAGAAGTGGAAGACGTCCAAACTACAAGTATGTGTACACTGTAATTTCCCTGCCACCTGTGTGACTGAATATACTGTAGCTGCTGCAGCACTGCTCACAGCCACTGAATCCAGCTGGGCTCTGGTAGAACAATGCACTCTGTCTCTTCATCCTCATGTCCAGTGAGACGGGGGTATATGGCTGTGGAGGAAACCTTAAATGATGTTAATAACGTGCTGTTGAAAAGCAGCACGGAGGAAGAAATCAGTGGCATGCATGATGTCAGCTCCCATCATTATGCCACCATGTTGAGGTAATGGGAGGAACACTGTGGCAATGGTCATGTTTTTGCTATGACTGCCTGTTTGATGTGCTATTAGCTGTTTTAAAGGCTTCTCTTTTTTTTTTGCAGCTCAAACCCCATGAAACTCTTGTTTAGACCGGAAACATTACATTACATGACATTAAGAAATGAAAAGAAAATAAGGGGAAAACTGAAACATAAAGTCTTTTCATTCGCAGTGTTTTTCCAGTGAACATTTCCATGCTGTTACCGAACGTTAAACATACATCTTGTTTTGATTCAGCTGCAGTTTGGATGCTTTTATGTCACCGTCTACACAAAACAGGTACCACCAGCTACACACACCCAGCATGTTGTCTATCTTCATGCTCTCTGGTTTTGGCCTTAATCCAAATGTGTGGAGCGCTCGCCTACAGGGGATTGTTGGAGGAATTCAGTTAGCCTCACAAATCCCTCTCCAGGCATTGGTGGTGCCATCATGGAGGTGGAGTTGTGTATGGGGTTTGCTTAGATAATGACAGAAAGATAAAATTAAACATCAGATCTGTGTGGGGTGATGAGGAGACTGTAAGCTTCCTCGGTACATGAAACAAACAGAAATGCCATTATTCCATCACATTTTCTACATTATTGTTCTGTGTTTGAAGTGTGACCAGCGCTCTTTTCTTTACGTCACCTCTTTGCGCCATCTGCTTTTATAATAGTTTAATGGCACCTGACTGGAGAATTAGCACCACACACTGTTTCTCTCAATAAACCAACTCCTGATATTTGTATTTGTGTAATTCGTCTTTTCTTGAATTTCTGTTCAAATCTGTGCTACAGCTGAGCGGAAACCTGGCTAATGACAAAGCTAACATGCTGATG